GCTGTGATCTGGAATTTTTGATTTATTCATTGTGTTACACAACGTTGTCTAATACAAAAACGATAAGGGACTAATCCTTTCCGCGGATTAAGCCAGCGGGGACAAAGAGTCACGTTAGAGCCAGAAGATCATACCAAGCAAATTAAACAATTAAAACTACACTTAAAAGACCATGAAAGACATAGACCAAGTTATTGCCGTAATGGCAATCTGAACCAAATGAGCCAAACCCCTTCCCACCGGACTCCCAAGCTTTCTGAAGAAATGACGAGCGAAACGCAAACTGATTTAATATCTAGAGAAGATACCCAAAGAAAAGGGACTCCAACAATACCACTGCAAGGGACAATCTCTATCACATCAAGATATCAAAACCAGAGCCCGACAACCTATTTGGTGATTACCGTGGAGAGACAAACGCCAATCCCAAAGATCCAAAAACCATCAACTGCAAAAACGTAGAGGAATGCAGCGAAGAAGCTTAATAGACACGACAAGGGAAGAAGTTGACACACCAGTCCGGTAATTCAAGGAAAGCAACACTCCATCTAAATCAAACGACCCACCGAGAGATCACAAACCAAAAAATCACCACCGAGCCAAATGATGATAAACCTAGGACTAGTGTTGAAGACAAGTACGCAAACCGTAGCGAGAGCAGCTATGCCGCACCATCAAGAGGCTCACGAGACCAATGTATTTGGCGCTACCGATTCCACATACCCCAACACTCCGACCCAGAATAAAATCACCACCGACTGAGAACCGGAACAAGCATGAACAAACCTCAAACCCAAGGAATTAAAGCGGAAACTGCGTGCCAAGATAACGCCTCAAAACACCACGAAGCACGTGAGCGGCTAACACGAACCACCAAGACCAGAGATCTATTAAGAACCGACGGCACTACAACTACCTCAACGTTTTACAAGGCTATTAAAACAAGGAAAAACATAAGCCATCTAAAAGAGGAAGACAAAACCCGATCTTAAATTTCAGATCTAGAAAACTAGATGTAAACAAAACTAAATTTGAAATCCTCTAAAGACAAACAAACTCGACAACAAGAGAAAAAAAAACAACGAATTACAACAGAGCCACCGCTCTGGCGCTAACGGAGCCGCCGGAGCTCCAACCACCGGCAAAAGTTTCTTTGAGTTTAGAAAAAGTTTAGAGAAAAAAAAAGAGAAAAAAGGGCACCAATAAGCTTGTTGTTATTCATTTCGTTTAAAATGTTAAAAATATAAGGAAAATAGCTAATACCACAAGTTTGGAATTCGTTTATTGTATTACCATGATATTTGTCGACATTTATGTTTGTAATTAAAGATTTCGTTTACTTATTATTCCGACAGTATGCTAGGCCTTTCCTTTTCCTCATTATAAATCGTTGACCTTATACATATGATATCTT